GATCAGCGTGGAGGGGACATTGCCACAGCAGTGCTGCCATCAGATCCCTGCCGACCCGGTTGATAAGAACAGCTGCTATCACAGTGACTTAACTGCTCTGTTGCCTCCAGAACAGCCCTTACATACCTCTGATTCAGTTACTTTCTCCATATCTGAAATTCCTACACAGACCTTCCTGCCAGTCACACCTAAGTGACACGCCTGCATCACTCTTGGGGTAAGAAGAGGGGATGAATGCTCTTCCAGTTCCTTCGAGGGAAATGGGGGTTTGCCTCACCATGTTTACAAACAGAACTCCTAACCAAATAGGAAAGGGGTTTGGATTGTGGGCAGTCAAAAATAAAGCAAATACCCACTGAACATGATTATCTAATTACTTAATAATTAAAAAGGATGGGTGAACTAACAGTAAAGTAAAATTAATTCAAGCAATTTCTTTTATAATAAGAGTCCCCAAGTCTAGCTTTGATAGTGGCACATAACTGGGTAAATAATTTAACTTCTCTGGTTCTCTTCCTCATACATAATATGAGGTTTTGACCTATGATTGCTAATTTTCATTATAACTAACTTCTTTTTTAAAAAAACTATTGTCAGTATTATTTGCAGAGGCTCATCCACATGGTGGAGCCGTATGCCTAGGACTTGGCAGTATCCATTGCACTAGTTTCATACTATTAAAGAAACTCTTGGTGAAACAAACTGGCTAACTTTTGAAGTTACAATGGATTGTTTTCATGTGTGTGTATGAAAGATTATTGACTGAAGTTGGTTAAATTCAATGGTTATACATCTAATTTTCCATTGCGTATGCAGAAATGTGGGGATTTTTTAGACATAGTGTCATTTTGTTTTCTGAATTCCAACACAGCTTGACTGTCTAGAGATAGCCTATAGCCTGGAGAATGGCAAACTCAGGAAACACCCTTCCCAAGAGAGCGTGGGTTCTTGGTACAGAAATCTTTTCATGAAAGATTTGGTTCCAAGGTTCTCTATGAGGAAATTTGGGGACTTTCCATTTAATTCACCTCATCTGAGTCATTCCTTCAGTGGCCTCAATGTCACCTCTGAGGACGATCCAACTTTTTCAAGACAATACGGAATCTTCTCTCTCCCCTTTGGGGGAAGATCACAAGTATTCTTTGGAGGAAAAGATGACAGCATTCAAGAGTTGTCCGGCTTCCTCTTCTACAGTATATCTATTAAGGAGTTTCTCAAACTTATAAGGAGCCCCCCCTGGATGGATCTTTTGGCAGCCCAAACCAAACCAAACCAAACCAAACCAAACCAAGACCAAATCTTCTGGAAAGATTTCACTTGCAGTGGTTCCCCCAGCCCACCTTTTAGTGAGTGGACAGCATGACACTTTCAACCTAGGTCTAATAAATTCAGAGAAACATGTATGCCTTTTGAACAAAGAGATGATTTGCCAAAATGTTGCATCATAGGCTATGTGGTTTGCTATAGGATGGATCCAAACTTCCCAAGAGTGGTATGACAGAGAAGTCAGACAATTGAATAGGCATTCAGAAATGGCAATTCAACCAGCAACATAAAATTCCCATTCTTAGGAATGTTTGGTTTTATTCACCCAACCTGAGTCATGCCTGTGTTAAAGGAAATTCCCAGTAAGGTCCTGGATGTGACACTGGGTGTGCTCCAATCTCCTCAAGCCAACACCAGACCAAAACAGGATCTCATTCAGCGAAGCTTACAGTAGGACTGGCTCCCACAATCTTGCTGTGGGACTGGCTCTGTGATTACAGGGAAAGTTCACAGAGCAGGAATATGCATCCAGAAGTTGCTTTTGACCAGCTACCCTAAATTCCCATATTGTGGCAGTCAATGGTGGTTGTATTTTTATCATTTATCACATACATACAAACTAAAGATTACTGGTTGGTTGAAGACTTAATATGGATGGATGATGGGTAAATTTCATAAGTGACAGAGTTGTTTGAAACATTTTAGTTTTCTCATAATGCACCAAGATTATTTAAGAAAAAATTACAGCTAAAGAGACCTGGAATAAGGATCTGCTTAATAAGCTGATGGAAGGAAAAATAAAAAAGACGGTAAATGTTCATGCTTGTATGACGTAAAAATTCTTCACAAAGGGCCTGGCATAAAATGATAACAATGAAATAACATATTAGTCAACTTTATGACATGAACATATTATTGTATCTACTTTCTAGGGAGAAAAACTGAGGACAGAAACCAAGGAAGTTGCATTGTCTAAGTACATCTGGCCAGCTAGAGATGGGGTTGAAGTTTTAACTCAAATCTTTACCTTCCACAGCCTATGTGCTTAGCCACACCACTGGCTATGATGGATGCAGGCTGAATAAACACATATTCTTTCCAAAATAAATACATTGAACACATGAATGATAGAACATTTAACTTCTTGGAATATTAGTTTTTAAACCTCTCATTCATTCCTATATAATTTTATTAATTTATTTTACTAGTGTCCCAAATTTAGTTTATCAAATAGAATCAGCTTATCAGTTTATTCTGCCTAAACTTTAAAAAATCTGTTGATTAATATAGACATGACCTGCCTTCTGGTAATTTCTTATCCATGTGTTTACTTGTGATGTATATACTGTCGTCGTCTTAATCTCCAAATTTATGAATATGTAAACAAAAACTAAAGCTCTTGTTTATTTTAAAAGCTCTTATTTTTTTTTTTTTTAAAGCTAAATGAAGTTATTGAGTGCACTGGTGATCTAGATAAATATAATAGATTTGTTGAGGGAATTGTTTCAATGGCCTTTACATATCAGGGGTTAAGTTCAATTTAGCATGGTAAACTTGTTCCAAAAATACATATCCTTTTTTTGGGTCCTATTAATTGCTGAAGGGATATTCTTATATGCTGTAAAAATGACATTTTACATAGTTTCCTTTATCCACTTGTCACTATTTTCTGTTCTTTTTTGGGATTTCTAAGTATTTTTATTTCTCATTATATGTCCCAATCAACCTGTTTTCCTTATAAAGAATTTTCCAGAGAAGTATATAGGAGTCAATAAACAAGCAATAAAATATTTTAGATAACTTTTTTAGATTGTTCAACTGTTATATATGCCATAAAAAAACTGGTTTTTAATGACTGGTAATATTTTATTTTTTTATTTAAATTACTATTTTTGTTTTTTAATTTTTTATGACTGGTAATTAAGTAACATGATTATCTGTATAGGAAATGGCTTATTTTATTCACTTCCAAATTATGGCATTATATAATGTCCATTGGTTTAGGAATGAATACTTACAAACTATGTTGGTTAAAATTTTCTTATCAAATAAGAGAGACTTATTTGAGTCATGAAATCAGGGGCTGGCAAACTTTTGCTGTACATGGCCAGAGAGGAAGTCCTTCAGTCTTTCCCAGCCATATGGTCTCTGTGGCCATCACTCAGACCTGCTATTCGAGCACAAAAGCAGCCACAGACAACAAGAGACAAATAACGTGGTTATTTTCCAAGAAGACTATATGGTCCCTGAATCTTAAATTCCATGTAATGTTTCTGTGTCATGAAAAGTTATTCTTGTGATTTTTTTCAACCCTATAAAAATATGAAAGCATTCTTAGCTGATGGGCCCATGGGCTGTAGTTTGCTGACCCCTCAAGTGAACTGTGAAATCAGATGTAGGGTAAACAACAAAAATCCGCCAATGGAATGATTTCTGAAATGATGATAAAGACAGAAAGATGGTAGCATTTTTTTAAAAAGATTTTATTTATTTATTTGAGAGAGAGAGATAGTGAGAGAGCATGAGAGGGGAGAAGGTTAGAGGGAGAAGCAGACTCCCCATGGAGCTGGGAGCCCGTTGTGGGACTCGATCCCGGAACTCTGGGATTATGACCTGAGCCGAAATCAGTCGACCAGCTAACTGAGCCACCCAGGCACCCGATGGTAGCATTTTAATCATTCTAATTTAGTTCTACTTTTTAATCTCTCCTGGTAATTTTTATCTTCAACAGATAATTTGCTTTTCTTTTGTTACTCCTTCTGCACTTACAATGCATTCCAAATCCAGGATCTTTTGTTCCTGTTAACCAGTCATTTTGCCCTGATCCTGTATTATTCAAACCTTGCTTTGATTTGCTATATCCTTGTTATTTACATCAGAGAAATAAATAACAGATATTATTTATACAGGGAGAGAAATGAAAACAAAGAACATGTTAGCTACTTCTTTATTCTTGCCTCGATGAAGGCATCGTACTCTGTTTTTGTTTAAAGTTTTTATAAATGCAGTATGTGTTCCTCTGTCCTTTAATCAATATAAAATGTTCTTCCCTCACCTTTCCTTTTATTTACAGATTATCTTTAAAATATGGCTATGGTACTCCCCTAATTTTGGCTGTTCCAATAATAATTTAATCTAAAATGGAGATTAATGGCTGTTCATTACATTGGCCCTAATGGAACTGGACAGAATTTGGAAGATCAGAACCAAAAGTACAAGCAGGACTATTAGTTGGGCGAAGACCTGAAATATGAATACAAAAAGATAATTGTCATAAAGATAAGGAGGTGGAGATACAATATTGAACGAGAGTTCAAAGCTTGGCTCTACAGCCAAGGGAAAAATGGATAGGCACATCACCAAAATAAGTGACAAAAGTTCTAGAAGTTCAAACATGTCTTTTCAAAGATGAACTAGACCATTGGACACAGCTAAAGAATACTAATTAGTTGGCAATTTATTACAGATTACGGGGAAAATTTGAAAGCAACACGGTGTTTGAAAGATGTTAGTTTTATCACAAAATTACCATTTTACAAAAAATTGCAAAAGAGAAGAGACCATTAAATATGAGTTAGTTAATGAGCTAATATATAGGTTTCGCAGCTGGTAACAGGGATCCTGAGCCTGAGAGGCCAGGATTCAAAGATATGCGAATGTCAGGCACTGTAGGGAGCAAAGCCCAAGTATACAAAGCAGGATAATCAGAAAAATGGATCAGAGAGGATACTCACACCTTGGAATCTGAGTTATCAAGAATGGACTGAAACTTGCAGCAGAATTACCTGAATTTTGAGTTTCTGTCAACATCGAGAGAACACAGTCGTAGATGAGGTTCTTCAGCTGGGGAATTAGAATTGGCAGGAAAATAAAAGACGGAGAGACAGAGAGCTGTCCTATAAGTAACAGAAGAATGAAGTGACATCATAGTTAGATGATAGAGTATTTTTTATAAAGTGAAACCTAGGTCTTTCGATTTCTTCATTTAAATTATGCCACGATTCAAATTAATTTATGTGTCACCAGAGATTAGTTAATATTTATTTTAGTCATTTCAATTACAAATATGGTCATAGGAAATGCATATTTGATTGTATATGACCTAAAATCTGGTACTCATGCCCTATCTGGAGAAGCCCATTTGGTCACATACTTGTTCTCACATCTTACTGACCTATCACTGAGTCCTACCATAGCCCCTGATCATCTCTCTACTTACCTATTTCTTTCTTTCCCAACTGACTCAGCTTAGCTCAGGTCTTCAGCTTAGTTTATGTGGGTTACTGAAATGTCTTCTCAATTTCTATCTTCATACTTGAGCCATAATGATCTTCACAAAACAAATATTACATCATGCCCCGTCCCATTGTCTTTATTAGCTCTATTACTGCCCACCTGTGCAACTTTGGTAACGTACTTTTAGTCTTTGGGCCTCAGTTTCATTACCTATAAAGTCACCAGCTGTGAACACTAAGTGGGATAAGTTTAGAGCAATATGGCACCCATACAAGCATGAGGAAAGCATTACATATCACTTTTAGAATGACATCCAAATTCCTTGCATGGCATTCAGCTCCTCTCATGATCTGCCCTTGCTTTCCTGACATTAACCCTCATCACTCCACAAACCATTCCTTCCCTTGCACCAGTAACACTCTGTTTTAGCCATACTGGACTACTTACAGCTATCTCCAACCTTTTTTTCATTCTTTCTCTTGGATCAGGGCCGTTGCATATGCAGCTATCCTTCTGTCTGGAAAGTCCCAGCCCGCAGAATTTGCCTGATGAAATTCCATTCTTCTTTGGGACTTAGCTTCGTGGTCATCTCCTTTGCAAAGGCTTTTCCTGAGCTTGGACCAGGTGCTCCTGCCTAGATTCCCTGCAGTTAACTGTGTTTTCACCTTTCACCTTCATAGACTCATTGCAACTGCTTGTTTCTTTGGCTAGCTCCCCTCCTTAGTCCACAAAATTTATGGAGGCAGAATTCTGAGGGCAAAATTCTGAGGGCAGAGCCTGTGACAGTGCCTGGCACATACAACAAATAATTTGTTGCCTTCCTTACTGAATCGGCCACTTATGGTGTAATACGGTTGTTATTTCAAAAGCGAAACAAAGCAACGCAAAACATATTGGTGGCAATTACATAATCATCCTATTTGTTTCCTTCCCAAAATATTCAGACACACTGGAAATACATAAGTAAATGTGGCATTTGGAGTATAAATATGCCTCATTCAAAACGGAAGCTTGAAACCATTATATGCATGTTAAAATGTACTGTAAAAATATGCTTCGTGTTACAAGCTACAAATTATTGCTCCAGGTAAGAAAAAAATATCCAAGTTGCAACGAATTATATCCACGTTTATAATTATTTCTTACTTTTTTTGTCTGTGTGTTTTTTAGTTCGGGCTCCTCTTTTCACTCTCAGATAAACATGATGTTCCCTGAACTTGACTTACTGGACTGTAACCCAGGACTGCCTGAATCGAAGCACACGGGAGAAATACAGATATATTTTTATTCATTATGGCAGATGCTCTTTGAAACTTGACTTGTGAGAACAGAAGTTCAATGAATGTGTTTCACATTTGTTCTTCTGACAGAGGCCAAATGACACAGTGTAAAGATCCTCAACTAAGTGACAAGAGAAAAACTTGTGTCCCGGAGTCCTCTTTGCCACTTACAATAGCCTTGTGACTGTGAGCGTGTCCTCCCACATCTCCTAGGTTTAGAATAGAGAAGAAAGATGTTTTAAGTGGCACAGCATGGGCGGTAGAAAGGATCTGATACATAAGTGCCAGGGAGTCCTGGTTTTGCCCCTACTGCTTGGGTGACCACTAAACCATCTGTTCCCATTTTCTTCTTCCCACCTTCATATACTGCAAGTGCTCAGCAGACAGTGTCACTTTGTTAGCGGATACAAAAACAAAATGTGTGGCTCTCATCTAGAGGAGCTAAGAATTCAATATAAGAGCCCGAACTCCAAACCTCGAATCATACCAGTAGCCACAGAGCTCAGACTTGTGTGTGCATAAGAATCAGCTGGAGATGTCCTTAAAACGTAGGTTGTGACTCAGCAGGTCTGGGGTGGAGCCCCAGATTTTGCATGTCTCAGAAGCTCCCAGGCAGTGGAGACAGCTGACCCCTGGGTGCTGGCTGGAGGAGCAAGTACACCGAGGTAAACAGGCACAAGAAAAGCACAGAAGAAAGGACACTAACTCAACCAGGAAGACCCCACAGAGCAAGTGAGCTGGAGTTGAGGGATGAGTACCAGGAGGTGAAAAGGGAGGTAGTAAATGCATTTGAGTTGAGGGAATTTTTATATAGGACAGGGAAGTGTGGATGGCCACAGGATGGGTGTGGGAAAAAGTGCACTGGGGGAGGCATGTGGTAGGGAGACCCATTTCCGGGAAGCACAATAGTCCATGTGGACAGCGATGAGGCCCTATGTTACTTTAATGTAGTCACCTGATTATTCCTAGTTGAGTTTTGTAAAAGGTGTGTGGTAGAGAGGGCCTCATGAAGGTGGGGCCAGTGAGAACAGAGAAAAGGAGAGAGATTTCTCCCAATATATTTAAAAGGTAAAAAATGACAGGACCAGGTCCCTGACTGGATGTGGTTGAGGGTAAAGGATGAGGCATGAAGGGATGTTTTTGGCTCAGAGGATCAGAAAACAGGGTTGTTTTTAATTCCGGGAATCCACAAGGAGAAGCAGGTTTGGATTTGGTGGAAGAAGTGAAAAATAACAATGAAATGAGTCTTAAGCACAAAATGTAACGACCGAGGGACAGAGAGTCACATCTATTTAGGTCTGAAGATCTACTGTTACTCCCTTTAATTAAGTCCATTGTCCTCGAATATGGAGTATAGTTACTACTTTCTATTATGTAATAAATAAAACAACAATTTTGAGAATTAACATTTTACCCTCATTTCATGAGTCCCCTCAGGGATTTTTCTCTGTTCACTTATAAATTCTCTTTGTGTATTTCTTAAAAGTTGACTGTTTGGACTCTAATTCGTATTAAAATCTTTTTTTTCTGAACACATCTTTTTATCTTGCCCATGGGTGGGTCACATAATACAATTCATTTTCTATGTCTCTTCCTTTTAATTATTGCCAGCATCGTTTCAGCTACTTTTGTTGAAAAGTGATTAGTGACCTTATTTTCTCCTTTGACACCATCTTTTCATTTCTCCTGGGCTATACCTGATCATATTCCAAACTCCTTAAATAAGTCATTCAGAAACAATTTGTCATGAATAAATTATTTTTTGTATTAAATGTTATTGTGAGTCTTAAAGAAAGACTATACAATGAAATGAATTTAGTAAATTTTTGTCTCTATCAGTAGAGCTGAATTTTTTTCGTAACAAGAGTTAAAAATCGTAAATCATCAGGGCCAGAGAGATAATGTAGTAGATAAAGAGGGCTGAGTATAAGAATTCTGGCATTCTGATGCTGTCATAATTCATGTTCAGTACTAAAGATGAAACTTGGCCATGGAAGCATTAGTGATCAGTGGGGAGTGTGGCAAACTAGAGAGCACAGGCCCCACAGGAAGGGAAAGATAACTGCTAGTGACAGGGAATTAATCCATTGGGGAAGGCAGATGGTCTCTTTGAAGATCTGATTTTTCAAGAGAAGTAGAAATCTAGATTTTTAATTAAAAAATACGACTCATAGTTGTTATGGCTATGTGTCCCCTAAAAACATGTTGAAGTCCTAATCCCCAGTACTTTGTATGTGACCTCATTTTTTTTTTTAAACATTTTATATTTACTCATTTGTCACAGAGAGAGAGAGAGAGCGCACAAGTAGGCAGAGTGGCTAGCAGAGGGAGAAGGAGAAGCAGGCTCCCTACTGAGCAGAGAGTCTGATGGGGGATCATGACCTGAGTTGAAGGAAGACGCTTAACTGACTGAGCCACCCAGGTGCCCCCGAAACAGGGTCTTTAGAGATGTAATCAAGTTAAGATGAGATCATCCGGGTGGGTGGGCCCTGATATGGTATGACTGGTATCTTTACAAGAGAGGAGAGAAGCACACAGGGAAAACGTCATGCGAAGGAGGCAGAGATTGCAATGGTACCTCTATAAACCAAAGAATGGCAAGGATTGCCAGCTGTCACTGATGCCACGGAGAGAGGCATGGGGCAGATTCTCCCCCATTTTTATTGAGTTCTTGCCTCCAGAACCTGAGACAGTATATTTCTGCTGTTGCAAACCACACAGTTTGTGGCACTTCATTACAGAAGCCCTAGGAAATTAGTAAGATAGTAAATAAACAAGCCTGTGAGTTTTATATACAGTCTACTGCTGAGCAGTACTAAGTAATTGTGTTTCAGATTTTTAAAAAAACAAGGAATTTGTAAAAAATATTTCTACTTGGCTATACTTTGTTGGAATATGGCAAGTTACTTTGTGTCATTAATAACATTGCCATTTTCATCGACATCCTAATGCAACAGACAACCAGAAGTATTTAAATTTAACCCCTCAATAAATATTAAGCAGTTACCAGGACATGAAATGACAAGTAAAACTGTAAATAGGAACAGCCCTTTCCCTGAAGAAAATGACCACTACAACAGTAGTTACAATACAGGAGCTGTGATGAGAGAGTAGTACAGATTGCTATAGGAAGACAGCAATAGTTCAGGAAAACCATCTGATTGTGATGTGCACAATTTAATTGTGCAGAAGGAGTGAAAAATTAGCTGATCTATCTTACAGCTCAGCATATATATAACAGAGCTGAGGTTCCAACCCAGGACCTCTGACCCAAATAAATCTCTTTTTACCTCACCACATTACTTTCGTTTTCTTAGTCTGCAAAAACAAGGCCACTATTACTCCTTCAAGCTTTCCTGAAGAGTAAATAAGACATTTGAAACACATTGGTCCCCTCCCTGGTCATGGCAGAACTTACTGGTGCCCACCAGATTCTGGTTCTCCTATCTGTCCTGGAACCTTGGAGGACTACATTTCCCAGACTCCTCACACCTGGGTGGAGCCATGTGACTGGTTCTGGCCAGTGGGGCACAGCACCTAGGAGCCAGCATGCCATTTTCCATGCTCTCTTCCCCTGATGCTAGGAGCAGGGGGACCATGTGTTCCAGATGGTGGAACTGCAAATAATGAAGTTTCTGTCAGCCCAGGTCTCTGAGCAACTATCAGAACAGCACCCCTGCCAACCCATGATAGAAATAAATCTTTGTTTTGTTAAACTTCTGGGACTTGAAAGTAAATTTTTTGCAGCAATTTATCTTGGTCCATCCTGACCAGAGCACTGGCTCATAATATATGCTCCACAAATGTTCTTTTCTTTTAATAATAATTTATGTCACAGGGTGATAGAAATAAGATTTATATTTTAAAAAATATCAAAATTTAGGGTATGTATTATGTAGCTGAATTTAATATATTCATATTCCAGATCCTGAGATAAACCCAAAACAGCTTATGTTAGTTAAGAAAGTGTGTCCTAAGACTAGCTGAAATGAGAAATCCATTTGCTGTCAGAAAAAAGTCACCTCTCATTAAAGATCATTTCTCTCATTCCTCCAAACCAAATTATTTAAGTTTAAAAATAGCAAAAGGACCTTATGAAAAAAACATATAAATGCTAAAAATCCCAGCTTGAGGTTTCAGCCACTATTCTTAACATACCTTCAGAGGGTTTTGACTGTCATTACTACAAATAGAAGACTTCCAGGAAGGAATCATTCAACAAAAAGAAGTCTTTTATTTTCTCTACAAATTTGGGACACGAAGAGAAAGATGAGAGTAAATATAATTCCAAGTTTTCTGCTCAAACAAATCTAAATGCTTCTGTCTAGCATTCAACGTCTTGATGATATGTTCTCATTTGCTACTAACCGCATTTCCCACTTTTTTCCCTCTAACATAGAGTCCATTTTAATCAGTCTCCTCAAGATCCACAAACAAGCCATATTCATCCTTTCTTTATGCCTTTTACCCATTTGCCTGAAATGCCCTTCTCTCTTACTTGGAGAATGAGCTCTAGGTCTAGCTCTAGGTCCACTTCCTATGGTTGTATTTTGTCCTCTAAGATTCAGTGCTTTTTGTTGCTGTTGTTGCTTTTACTTTATTTTATCATACACACACACACACACACACACACACACACACACACACTATATATATATATATATAAAATATATATATATAGAGAGAGAGGGAGAGACATAGTTGATATATAATATTATATTAGTTTCAGGTATACTATATAATGATTCAATATATGTATATATTGTGAAATGATGACCACAATAAGTCCAGTTTATATCCATCAATGCTTTCTTTTTTTTTTTTTTATTAAAGATTTTATTTATTTATTTGACACAGAGAGAGAGCGATCACAAGTTGGCAGAGAGGGAGGCAGAGAGAGAGGGGGAAGCAGGCGATGCAGGGCTTGATCCCAGGACCCTGAGATCATGACCTGAGCCAAAGGCAGAGGCCCAACCCACTGAGCCACCCAGGTGCCCCCATCAGTGCTTTCTTATACCTAGTAATCTTCTCTCTTATCTGTACTTTGAGTTCTCTAAAAACAGCAATGATTTTTTTTACACTTCACCTCCATATCCACAAAGCTTCGACACAGTACTGAGCACATCATCAGCAATAAATAAATACTTCCTGGTTAATCGTTTGTGAGTTTGTGTGGGGATGGATGGGTACCACTGGTCAGGAAGAACAGAAAATTGAAGAGATTCCAGAAGGACTCATGACTGAAATAAAAATCAGTGTTTGGGGATGGGAGGTGGGGGACTTGAAAATCATCTTCCATAGTTGAATTCTA